TTTGTTTCTCCCTTGACTGCGTGAAGATTCCAGGAATATCAGCTTCAGTATTTTGTTTGTGTGTGTCTGATGGGCGATAACACAATGGCACAGGTAGATCTGGAAACTTTAATTTCTGTAACAGAAATAACTGTTGTTGACATGTATCACGAACTATATCCCGACTTGCAACTATCAAATCAACAGGCCTCCATAAATTCAACAAAAAAAAATTATTTGTCGTTGTCTCTTCAGTTACTTCATGCTTTATCTCACATTGAATCCAATCTGGCTGCAATCTGATTAACGTTTTAACGCTTTCGCGGTTCATAAATATCTCCTCATAATAATCTACGAACATTTTTAGCCATTCATGCACAGATGATCCAACAAAAGGTGGTATTTGACTATGATTGCCACACAGGATAACATCAGTATTCTTCATCAACAACCAATCAAGAAACATTTTCAATACATCTAACGTGTCACATTTCAGGAATCCACACATCTCCCTTCCAGCAGTAATTATACGATCTAACTTCTCAATCGCTCATTTGTATGGCGAGTCTATGTGTGGACGTAAAAAGAACCATATCAGAATTCTGAAATAATTCAATTTCACGTGTTGTTTTACCAGTGCCTCAAGACTCATTGAGATAAAATGTTTTATGCCTGGTCACAGGACCATATACCGATGGAGCCGATGAAAGTTTTGATATCAGTTTACTTTTATAGTATATGTCCGTAAATACAACGTCGGCAGATTCAGACTAACTCAGAATTTTGTCCCGCTCTATTCTCCACGTGATGCATCAGTGCTGATATTTAATTGTTTTAGAAATCCTGCGTATTTTATTGATATAAAATTAATATATGGAGACTCTAAAAACAGCATCAAAAATCTGTTTATCATCGATAATAAATTTATCGAAACGTACGCAAGAATTGATCTTAAATGAGTAAACAAATCCAGTTATGTTAAACTTTGGCATGGCTCATTTATTGCAGCTCTGGTCATCTCGTGTGGTGAATGTACAGATCGCCTGAAACACTCAGAACATTCACCCACTCCAAGAAAACCTCCATGATAACATGCAACAATATTAACAGAGATAACATCTCTATAATCGTATTTAGTATTCCATAATCCGATGTGTCCGTATTCGTTACAACTGTGGACATCTTCAAAAAATTCCAACCTCGTTGGTTTCCAAGACTTTTCCTTCTGAGCAGCGTGGGCAGCAACTGACAGAACTTTTAAATAATAACTTTGTAGCATTCGATAACATCAGTATCGTTCGTGTATTTCAAAGCAAGATTTTTCATTTTGTCGTTGAGTGATTCTCTGCGATAAAATATCTCCATTAGGCTGTATAAGCTTATCATAGTTTACATATTCTGAACTCTGAAACGGGCCACACGGATACAAGGTCACTCTTACTGATATTTCTGATAAAATCAACTGTTATATAATTTAACAGTTCGATTTCGTGGAAATATTGTTATGTACGAATTCGACACGTGTGCGTTATGATCAACAATCTCTATCAAAGCTCCATTTTTTTTATATATTCCGATTCGTACAAAATCTCTCCGGTTAGTATCTTCACCCTTGTTGGAAATCTTATTTGTTCCATTTCAGGAAAGTCTTTGATAGACGCTGAGGTATTATTAACTGTTTCTTCCCACTCATTTTTTTTTTACGTCTTAGATCCGTTACATCATTGCTATGTTTCGCTTGAAAAGTATTCTGAAACTCGCTCAGCGACACACATCAAGCGAGAAATAGTCGTCGACAGGAGGTCATCGACATGAGGTTTATCATTTAGTGGGTATATCACAAAAAAAACAACTGCAGTCACAGGATATGCTCGTTCATAATATGGTCTACGAATTCCGGTCAGTGTTCCAGGTTTTGAATTTTATTTAACGTAACAATATTTCCAGTGCAGTGTAATTCTACAGGGTCATGTTTGTCAAGGATCATCCATGTGTCATCTACCGCGGCGGCATCTATCGCTACGATAAAAATTATTCTAAATATATACATTTTATTCAATTTTAAGATAATTAATAATCATTGCAGCTCGCTTGTAATTCACAGTAGCATCGACTACTTGCATAGTTCTAAATGTTACTCACAACACGAGCCACGCCATCATTGCAAAATTCTCACTTAGCTTTACGGATATGATTGATTAGAGTTTTATTTGTTAAATCTACAAAAGCCTGGCTTGACAATTGAGCGGTTATTCTGTCACGATCAAATTTTGCTTTAGAGGGCTTAATCACAGATTATCTCAAATTTCGCGATGTCGTAATTAAGACAAATATATATTAAATTGAATATATTATATATTATAAATTATATATATATAACGAATAAAGCAAGGAATTTCTATTAGTGTTTAATGATTGGTTCTGTAACTACGTGTAACAGGGCCTGCGTAAATAAATCATGTGGATATCACATGCAAAGAATACGTCGCGAAAGTCTAGGACCAAAACCGTGTTTACGATGTGGTATAGGGGTTAAAGAAGAAACGCAGTTGTGTGGTAAAAATACAGAGAGCTGAAACCTTACAATGATAAAAATATAATGCGGGAGTTGCTGGTGATATATCTCCCGTAAAAGCCGATGACCATCTCTCCATATTTTCACGTTGATAATAAAAATAGTTATTTAGACAAATAATATTATTATATAAATAGAGCAAAATAAATTTGTGAAGAATTCCGTCATTAAAAGTTATGACTTAATCTCGTGATGGTGTCATTAGGATCTGTCGACTAAAAAACCTGTTGATAATACTGGTTATCTCAGATTTACTGTTGAAAAAAAACGGCTTGATCAAAGTGGGACTTGTGATTGATCACATCTATTCAGATCCAGAAAATAATTATTTGTATAATTTTCTGGCTATTACACAAATTTATGAATTCTTCACGTGGTATTGCTGAAAAATATAATAAATTACAGAGGGCGGTTAAATCTGTAAGCGTCAAGACTGACGAAGAAAAACAATCTGTTCCGTACAGTGTTTGCAAATCCAGAATCTATTTTAACGCAATTTTGAAATTTTGTTGCGGTTGTATGTAAAAACACTCCAGATAAGGGAGATAACTCTCTCAAGCAAAGCTTTCTCCAATAGAGTAATTAAGCAGTAGCCTCGCTTGTCATTGCGTAACATAATATGACTGTCGCGATTGTATTTATTTATTTATTTTTTTGTTTTGTTTTGTTGTGTTGTGTTTCACACTGTATTTATTGTCCCGCTTGATTCAATAATACATTCTGTCAAGGTATGTTACAAAGGACTGTCCCTCTTTCTTGTATGTTACACCCCTTAACTTCGTCTCTAACTCTCTGCCCCTGATAATTCAGGAAAACAAGAAGCCTCTGAGTATAATCCAGGTAAGTTAATTTTAGATTTCAAAGGTAAGATAGCTCCTGAATTACATCCTGCAGATTTATTAAATTCTATAAATGTATGTTCACTGCAGATATTGTAGACAGTGTTTGGAAATTAAAATAAATTTGTGTGATTATGTGAGCAGTTAACGCAATTATATAACATTTGTGATTTATTCAGCATACTGATCGCTTGTAGGAGTTCTGTCCGTTATCCAGGTACTTACGTGGCGGATTTTCATACTTGAGGTCTTGTGTTCAAATCCTGTTAATGACTAATTGTCGACGGTGGGCAATAATTGCAATTTTTCATTAGTAATTGGGAGCTCCAGCCTACAAGGAAAAATAAAATTCATGTTCACCTCCCCACTACATAGATCAACGTGGTGGGTGCTGTTTTGCAGTCTTTCCGGGGTTTTGTATGTGTACAAAATTTGAGCCTAGACAACCATTTGAATCTCAAAAATTTTGTTTCGTATTTAGCGATTCACCAGGGGTTTGTGCCTATGCATGTAATTTTAAAACTGAAGCCGTAAAGCAGTTGCGGTGATGAGTTCTCATTTTCTTGAAGGTTATACCCCACACAAGGACATTCAGAATGATAAAAGCCTAATTAAGGATACCCATCGACCAGAACAAAGGACTCATGAAGGGACCCCAGGGAACGGCAAATACTAACTCAGAAATATTTTTATTTTTATTTTTGTTCTGGTATGTTCTGAATTTCGAAAATGTTAATGCAATTATTTTTTCGATTAAAAATTAAATGAAGAGGATATAGAATTATCTGAACAATCCGATCCTGAAAAAAAACCATATATGATTTAGAAGCGCTAAGGAAACGGAAATATCATGGTAGATATACACTAGCAGGTTAATACACATTTCTTAAATTACTTCAAGAAGCCACGAAGCAATCTCTACTTAATGTAGATGATGGAGATATTCGAAAATTTGTTTCAATCTCAAAAGCGATGGAGAAAGCTAGATCAGACTTATTAGGCAACTACGAAACAAACAAAATTTCAGAAACGTGTGCGACAGCTGAAAAAATTAGGTACCATTTTAAACTCAGTGACAATGTCACTGACGAAAGTCAAGAGTGATTGTGAAAGTAAAAGTTGTATTTTTTATTCTGACTCGGATCTATTTTTTCTGACACAGATTCAGATCATAATATTTATTCAGAATCAGATTAAAATATTTCTTCTAATTCAGACTCAGATTATAATATATATTTTATTCTTATTTAAATTTATTGAGATTGTAATATTTGTTCTGATTTAGAAATATGTATTATGATTCGGAATTATTTTTTTATTTTTAACCTGATTCATTGTTATATTTATTCTGACACAGATTGAGGTCACGAACGTACGTACAAACTTCTTGTCAAAACTTCATTCCTTAAGTCCAGAAGGTATCTGTTCTGGTCAGTAAGCCTAAAATGTATCCGTGACAACAGCGGATTACACCATAGATAAGCCGGATTAACGGGTACTTAAACAATTAAAAACCTAGGTGGTATTTCAGGGCTAAAAGTGTGTAATATATTATTGTTGTGCCTGCCTGAATTTTTCAAGATCATCTTGATAGCTGCAATCGAACCGCTCTGGTGGCCAAGTGGTTAAAGCGTACGCCTCAGACGCAGAAGGTCGCGGGTTTAAACCTCGGCCGGGTCATATCAAAGACTTACAAAAATGGTACTCTCAGATGACTCGCTTGGCGCTCGTTATTAAGAGGCTAGTGTTAGGACTGGTCGGCCTGGTGTCAGAATAATGTCACTGATTGGAACATCATGCCACATGTCTGCAGCATGATGCCCCCGTTCAAGACTACATTATAAACTGTCACACTGCAGACATCGTAGAAATATAACTGCACAAATTGTTAAAGCTACTTTATAAATCTAAATTACATGCACACACACATAGCTGCCATCGATTGCATCACATACAAGATTGACTGCGATCGTTGATGTAATATTGACATTACCTGGTGATATATGATGGCCACCACCGTCTGGATTATTGTTATATTTGAGAATAATCGCAGGAGAGGGTATATTTCTCCTTGCTGCTGTAATCTGGGGATATTAATCATCGATTATATCACTGACGTTTTCTTCAGTTCGTCGGGGTTAAATTCATGAAATTTAGATGTCGATATATATGCCTCTGACAACGAATATTTATTCAGTAATAATTGTTTGTATGAGTATCTACCATCATACTTAAATTCTTCGCTAGAAATCATCGTCTGCAAAATACTGTGATGAGCAGTCTCGAAGTCCGATTTAACGTGGTTCATGTGTTCCATTTGCTTGATGTTTTCCTCCCTCAATAATCGCTGACGGGGAATATTCCTTTATGTAGGTGGAGAACAATTCCGTATTGTGGCGCTCATTTGTTTGTGCACGCGATTAATTTCAGTGAATAATACTTTGATATCATTTTCATCATGATATATATATATATATATATATATATATATATATATATATATATATATATATATATATATATATATATATATATATATATATATATATATATATATATTATCGGGGTCGAATTCCCACATCATTCTAACGTGGGAAACTTTTCCGTCAGGAGTGAAATCAAATTCGAGAACACTTTATCTATCACCGATAAGGGATGGGGTTAGTTTTCTTGATCCCGACAGCCGAGAACTCCTATGATGATCTGGAGTACTTTACCAATACTCTTTCTTGTCTGAGATATAATAAGGTTTCTGGAGGTCTTTAATGAACATGTGCTATCTCTGGCTACCCTATATCAGATTGGATCGATGATTGACCTATGTCCACTGCGTACTCGGATATATATATATATATATATATATATATATATATATATATATATATATATATATATATATATATATATAGATGCAATAAACTGACGACGAACAGTACGAAACTAGTAACTAACTAGCCTAAGCGCTTTCGACTCTTAATGAGTCTTTTTCAAAGGCAAATACAAAACATAGTTACGACAAACAAATAAACACAAAAACGTTGCGTTTGTAAACCTCTACATTTCTATCTTCACATGTGTTAAAACTATAAATACAACCAGCTTGTGTAGACTAGTTGCGGAAACTGAAAACGTTGTATAATTCCCTAAAAGTCTACAAGCCAAAGCGACATCTATTTTTATTTTGTGTACATATGTAACGCAGATTATATCCCGGATATTTGGTTCTATACCGGTTATTCTTATAGTAAAAATTGAAGGATAAGAAGATTTAGAAAATGTTAAATTCTACTAGTGCATAGTTTTCATTTTCTAGTCTTCTTGGTTTAGACCGCTTGGTTTCAATGTTCTAAGGCGGCGTATCCAGTATGATTCCTTTTCCTTCCTGGAAACCTAATACTTCCGAACAAACCTGTAGTAGCTTACCGGAGACCAAAAAACCTAAAGGACATCCTAGTCAGGGCCAAGCTAACAACAATCGCTAGTCAAAACCAACCTAGTCAATCTGGACCCTGTGGCGATAAAAGATGCAAAACCTGTCAACATATGATAGAGACCAAGACATTCACTAGCACAGTGACTAAAGAAAAACTAAACATACATGGTCCAAACAAAACGTGCAAAACAGAGAATGTGATTTATCTCATCACATGTAAGATCTGTGGCCTTCAGTACGTGGGAGAAACTGAAAAGCTACACATAAGGATAAACCTTCATAGATCTGATTGGATGACAAAAAAGCTGTACAGAAGCCCGGTCGCAGAACACTTCTCCTCCCCTGGCCACACTTTCAGTGATATAATACTTATCGCTATTGCCAACAACCACAGCTGGAGTTCCGAAACCAGGAAGGAAAAGGAATCATACTGGATACGCCGCCTTAGAACATTGAAACCAAGCGGTCTAAACCAAGAAGACTAGAAAATGAAAACTATGCACTAGTAGAATTTAACATTTTCTAAATCTTCTTATCCTTCAATTTTTACTATAAGAATAACCGGTATAGAACCAAATATCCGGGATATAATCTGCGTTACATATGTACACAAAATAAAAATAGATGTCGCTTTGGCTTGTAGACTTTTAGGGAATTATACAACGTTTTCAGTTTCCGCAACTAGTCTACACAAGCTGGTTGTATTTATAGTTTTAACACATGTGAAGATAGAAATGTAGAGGTTTACAAACGCAACGTTTTTGTGTTTATTTGTTTGTCGTAACTATGTTTTGTATTTGCCTTTGAAAAAGACTCATTAAGAGTCGAAAGCGCTTAGGCTAGTTAGTTACTAGTTTCGTACTGTTCGTCGTCAGTTTATTGCATCTATTTTAATTAATCCCTGACAGACGTGATCCCTTGGTGGATCCAGTACGCTTGAGAGGGTTGTTATTCGCCATATGATTTGTATTCTTTATATATATATATATATATATATATATATATATATATATATATATATATATATATATATATATATATATATATTACTATCGCGGATGATAATGTTGGCTCATGAAACGTCATAGCGATTTTGGATTCTTTTCCTGTGACAGATTTAATCCTGCGATTGAATTCACTATTGATCTGTTCTATCTGATAACTGCCAGTAGAAATTCCAACAACTTGCCTATCGGGTGTACAATCGGATTGATTTTTATAAGAAAAGACTAATGACTTACTTGCTTGCAACCAACCGCACGATTTTGATCTAATATTCGGCCAGCTGTAATATGCTCGCAATTGTGCTAACAATTTTTCTTTGGCTGAAATTGACGTCGGAAAGGTAGCGTCGAAATCAGAATTAGTTGAGCTCGCTGATATTATCGTGGTTCTTTGCGGTGTTGTGTTATTGATGGTTTGTTCTAGCAATTCTGATGACGTTGTCATTAATGACATAATTTACTTACTGATTTGAAGTTAAACTGACTTTGTCCTTCGTCAACGGGGTTTGGTTTCCAGTTGATTCATGGTAAACCTTAATCATTTCAACAAATTCCTGATCTGATATTCTATCATCGAGCCCTGATGATATCAGCGATGATAATTTGGCAAGCGCGTGTGTTGCCGCTGTTAGCAACGATGTATATTCGTGTAATTCATTAGCTACACACGTGGATATTTTTGGCAATGACATTAAGATGCCAGCAACACCGGTTATAACTGTAACACTAATTCAAATTACTGGTGCTATTGTGTACGACGCTGATAATGATCCAATTATATTTGATGTTCCAGCGACCACCACTGATGCAGAGTATACAATTATGTCAGTAACAACGACATGTGTGCGGTAATTTTAGTTTAAATGTGTACTCATCAATATTTTTACGTTGGATCTGCAAGAAACACACTTGTTCGCATATGTATTGTTGCGTTGCTACAAAGTCAGTCGATTGGTTCATTATATACTTTAATTAGATGGTATTTAGCGACTAATTCAAGACACCAAGTGTCAATCAAGGCGAGGTCTCGTTTTTCGGTTTCCACCATGAGTATTCCCTCGTCGCTTTACTACTAACACAGGTCTATACTGGAAATCGCCATGGAATTGTGGTAGATACTACAAATGTTGTAACACCGGGTACTGAGTGCCTTTATATACCGGTAACATCAGCGCGATGAAGGATGAAATTACTAGGTGGTGTTCATAATGCTGATTCAGAAACTACTGTATATTCTACACTGTCGGTATTTTTTATTTATTTTTTTTTATTTATTTAAGGTCGACGATTGCTGCACTTCCAAAAAAATCGTTAATGGCTGTATTTGTGTTTCTGCGAAAATTTATAAATGCGTTCAAGTGAGTAGAAAATTAAGATCTAAATGTGGTCATCCCATCGCTGATGTCATAAACGAGGTCATTGTCGTAATGTTGCTATTATCGACGTAATTCTTCGTTGCGGTATCAGTCTTTGATTCTGGTTCTCCAAGACCAGTAATTCTTTTATTAGTCATATCATTGTATTAAAGGCGGATAGTAAACTATCAATGTTCTCAGTTATGATCATGTTGTTATTCTGTCTACGTATCTTTTGACGCCAGATCATATTATGATTTTGGTTCTCTCACATTGAAAATTGTTTTTCTTCTCATACTGAGATCGCCGTGCATAATATCTCCAATTCTTCTTATGCGTCCAGCAATCTTTCCCATGAGTGTTAAGACCGATTTCTCTGAGTTTTTAATTATACCGTTTTCAGCAAATACCTCTAAGTTATTTTCGGTCGCATCTGGCACTCGCAGAATATTATCTATCAGCGGGAAATTGTTCGCTTTTAATCGTCCTTGTTGATCCTGAAAAACAACAACTTCATTTTGGTTCTTATCTACCAGACTCAAATGATCAGCGAGCTCGTCCTCCTTGACATGCACAAGTGTTGTATGTTTAGATAATTTATATTGAGGCTTGACACTTCGAAAAGATATATAATTGAATATTGTTACAAATCTCGGCTCGTTCAAAGTAACAAAGAAAAAAGTGAAGACAACAAGCTTTGTAAATTTTAACAAAAAAATTAATTCTTTAGAAAACACAGTAAAAATATGAAAAAGGATTCACAGTTTGTAAATATAATCCAAAAATTAATCCTAAAATTGAAACACACAAGTCCTATCACTAAAATGTTCAAATAAATACCAGTTCGAATCTAAGCGAAGTTCAAAAATAGCTGACAATGACGTCAGA